GATTACATCAAGGACCACATGATGGTATCCTAGATTTCCTGTGTTAGGGAGGCAAGAAAGTAAACTTAAGGTGATGTGATGATGGAAGCAGAGGGAAAGAAAAGGTGATGACAACTGTGGGGCTGTGAACAAGGGAATGCTGGGCTCTCCAGAAGATGGAAAAGACAAGTGATTGGATTCCCCCTTTGATTCTCCAAGAGCCATCAATTAGCCCTATTAACATCTTGACCTTAGTTCTTCCTAAGGCTCACTTTGGACTTCTGGTCTCCCCCACCTGAGCCAACGTGTCATTTAAAGGTACTCAGGATGAGGACAGCAGCCACAGGGAAGGAACACCTAGAGTAAGAGTCAGCTGAAGAGCTTGTTCCAAAGCACACTGTTATCCAAGTACCCGTGGTCAGCTATGTCAAAAGTCAGTAAACATTTAATATCTTGAGACTTGTTAAAGCCAAGATTTCTGGGCCCCGCCTCCTGAATTTCTGGTTTAGCTAGATTGGGTTGGAGACTAGAAATTCACTTTCTAACAAAGCGCCAGGTGAGGCCCTGGGACTGTACATGTGAACCATTATACATGGCTTGGAGTCATAGGCAGCACATTACAACTACAATCACTGTTAGGTAGCTAATGCCTGTAATCTTAGCTATGCAACAGACCAAGATCTGAGGATCGTAGTCCATTAGACTCTGATCTCTAATAAACTACTCAGAAAAATCTAGAAGTTGAACTATAGTTCAAGTGGTATGGCAAAGGAAGCTCAGAGACAGTACCCAGGCCCTGAGTTCAAGCCCCAGAACTAGCACGAAGAAAACAAAGAGAGAACTGAATCGAGAGTCCACTGTAGACAAATCTTTACCTTATCTGGTTTCTTCCTTGCCACTCTCAGTAGTTTTTCTATTTAATCTATAGATTGAGATTTATAAAATATGGCATTAGTTTCTCAATATCTATCATTGCTGGCAAACACATAAAATCCAAATTAAGGAAGAGGAGGTGTGGCTCAGATAGCAGAACACCAAGTCTTGATGAAAAAGCCAATTAAGAGCATGAGATCTTGAGTTCAAGTCCCAATACCAGCACACACAGACACACACACACTCCAAATTAATTTTTTCAAGGCAATAAAACATTCGATGTTTTCACTTTTCTCTGCTGCTCAATATACAAGCCTGTTGCCCCTACTTCTCCTCCCTAGGTAGGCTCTTGGGGATGAAGCTCAGGGGGGCATCCTCAACTAAGTGAGAAGAGGCCCTAGGGGTGTTATATGTTAAGTATGAAGTATGGATCATTTCTGGCCATACAGTGACTTGGGGGTGTGCTGCTGGTGTTTTTCAGGGAGGGACTAAGGATGTGGTCCATGTGCTTGCAATGCTCAGAACAGTCCTGCAGAAGAACTATCCTGCCCCAAATGCACTTGTGACCCAAGGTGGGGGGAAAAAAAATCAAGGCACCGGTCATTTGATTATCAAATAGTACCCAAGTATTGCCTCCAATTTCAGACTACCACTTTCAGGATGAAGTCCTCTTTCAGCCTTGGACAAGACAGGCCCAAAGAAAGCTTTTTAGAATTTTTTTCAAAATATAACATTATTAAGGTATAGAACAGAAGGGTTGCAATTCCACAAGTCAGGTGATGAGTACAATTCTTCTTGGACAGTGTCACCCTGTCCTTCCTTTGCTTTCTCCCATTTCCACAAACCACCTACCATGACCTGCTGTCTCTCTTAACACCACTGTGTTAGCAGTCCACTACCCATATATAGTAAGACCGTATCTCTTCTTTGTTTCAGAAAATGTAACTTAACAAGTTACTTCTTTATTCCCTAGAGTGAAAACAGGGCAGCTGATGGGCAAGTTGTAGTCCAAAGAAAGAGCCCTCCAGAATGGCCTCTCTTTGGATGCTACAGACCTGCTTGGCCTTCTACTCAGTCATATATGTCACCTGCTCATGGCTGAAGCTGGAAGACAATGTCTCCTGAGATTTTTCTGGACAATGCCAGGTGTTAATCCATGGCTGCCCCACATGTGGTATCCTTGTGCCTGCCTGGATCACATACCCTTCCAGCAAACCATAAAATGTCTCAGTTACTCTTACTTGAGTCATGTTTTTACCCTCCTTCAATCTATACCTGACTCTACATCTATAGAATAAAGGCCCCTCAGCACTCATGACCCGACCCCCTACCCAGCAGTGTGTTAGAGAAAAGAATCCTTTATTAACCAGTCACTCATGGGCCTTTTAGCTTCGTATTTGGAAACAATTCACCAGTGCTACCATCTTTTGGTTCCACAGGTCAGACCAGGAATCATTGCCTCTCTCCCTGCCACTCCCCACTCTATCCACTGCAGATTTTTACCATCTGCAGCTACCAGCTGAGATTTGCGCCCCAGTGCCATGGCTTCTGGCCAGATCTAGCTCTTCTCTCATGGCTTATTCTATACACAGCAGCCAAGCAATCACTTAAAAATGTAAATCAGATGTTACTTCTCTTTAGAACCTTTAATGGCTTCTAATGCATTTAGAATCAAATCCAATTTTTTTACTAGTCCAGGCCCCTGAATTCTGACATACACTAGCACTAAGATTTCTACTCATTTCTTCTTCCTCAGACCTTGATGCTGTCTTGACAGAAGTCAGGTTCTGTATCTTCACATCAGCTTGTTAGTACTCTGTTCAAGTTGCTGTAACAAAATACCACAGACATAAGCAACAAAAATTTGTCACATCTGCAAGTCAGGAAATCTAAGATCAAAGGAAATTCATATCTGGAGAGGCTTGTTCTTGGAGTCATAGGTAGTGCAGCCTTGAATGGTGGAAGGAAGGGGACAGAACAGCTCTCTGGAGCCTCTTTTTTTTTTTTTTTAAATTGGAGCCTCTTTTATAAGGGCACTATTGCCATTCATGAAGGCTAAAGCTCTGGGGTTAATTTGCCAACAGGAAGTGGTGGTGCTGGTTTATGACTGTGGGTTTCTTAGCTCCACATCTCTTTCATTCCCTCACTACCTCCTTGAGCTGAGTTTTAACATTACTACCCTTTCATTTCCAAGCACACTAAATGACTAGATAAAAGGGGGTGGGGGGATGAGCCAGGTGACATGCCATGTGCTGGTGCCAAAAATGGAACTCAAGACATAAAAATATGTCTATTATGTCCACAAATGAAGTATCCAGTAGGTTTAGGGAAGCAGCCTGCTTCCTAAGGATGAATAACCTCTTTCCTCACACAACAAAATAGGACATAGGAACCACATCAGATTTCAGAAATAACTCCCATCTTGGTGGAATGCCAGGCTCCAGACCCAATTCTGTCATTTTCCAGGCCTTTGCTTTAGAACACTGGACATCTCAGTTGACCTTTCAGGGTCTCAGCTTTACATCTGCAAAAAGGGTCAGACGGTCTTGAACAAGCATTCCGCTTCCACTATTGCATGACATGGGGACAGCAGATGGCTTTTATTAGCCTATTTTGCTCTAGATACTGACATTTCATATTTCCTATATATATTTCTATAGCAGTCTTGGGAAATGTAAAAATGCAGTTTCTCAAAAACAAAATTGTCACTGGTTCTATTCTCAAAGAGAGCAACCAGCAGGCAATGTGAGCATAATTTGTACCTCTTAATTTTAAATCCAGATGCCTGCTAAGACCAAAAATACCCATCATTCAATATTTACATCTGGGCTTCAACTGCACTGCCCACTCTTGGCTACTTGAATTTACAGAGGAACTGAGCATCAGGGAGAATACTAACTAACCTCATTCGAATGAAACTGTCTTAAATATCATCTCTCTCTTGTTTTTGATGACACCCTACATGTATTTGCATAAAGAAAAGGCAGACAGCTGTGTCCTAACAATAAACCTAATGATTTGATTATTGGAGAAAAGATAAATTCTCCATTTCAGCTTCTCTACTTACAAGCATATCTAAGTCTCACTGCAGCACCTTCATCCCTTCCTGTCTTTACTAATGGCTCCTGCTAATCTAAGTTGTCTGCACACTGACTGCAGAGATTTACCTGTTACCAAGAGAACTGGACACAGGTGCAAGGAATCAAGACCTGCCTGGAGAAGACAAGGACCTGCTGTCCCATGGTCCTGGAATTCCTAAAGGTTCTGTGCTCTTAGCCAAGAACAATAGTCTGGTTTTATGATCAATTTTCCCTGTGTTCTGGAATTCTCCTTTCTGTCTTAAAAGCTCCAGGGAAGCTCTCTGCATCTCTGAGAACTCACGTCTACCCTCTGGCCACAGGTTCCCAACACACAATGATCCTTTATGACCAAACCTCTGAGGACCCAGAGCCCAAGAAAATTGAGCTCAAAGTTTCAAGTTTGCAGACAAAGTGGTTTCAAGCTAGACGCCTCCAAACAGGGAGCTAAGCAGACTTACGGAAAGGCTCCCGGGACTCCTCTGCGGTATTAAAAAATAGTCTCAGAAAGTCCGGCGCCGGGGGCTCATGTCTGTAAACTTAGCTACTCAGGAGGCTGAGATGTGAGGATTCAGGCAGACAAACCCAAGAGCCTCTCATTTCCAATCATCCACCAAAAGCCAAGTGGAGCTGTGGCTCAAATGGCAGAACACCAGCCTTGAGTGAAAAAGCGCCCAGGCCGCGAGTTCAAGCCCCAGTGCCGGGAAGCACACACGCACGCACACACACACAATCACGCACACAGCCTCAGAAACCCCCGCATATGCGTTGCAGAGGAAAATCTCAGTAAGGAGAAAGGAAAAGCGAAGTTTGATTGATGGGGGGGGGGGGCGGAAGCTTGCCAAAGAGCAAGGGCGCATTTCTCCAACGTGGGCCGCGGACAGTCAGGGGAGTCAACGGGGCGCAAGTTCAAGTCCCGTCCACGACAGAGCCAGCCGGGGCACCCGCAACCCCCCGCCCGGAGCATCTCCGGGGAGAGAAGGGGGGCAGTGCGGGAGCAGGTAGGCTCCCCCCAGGGGGAGTGAGGGGCGCTCGGGCGGCGGTCCCCGGGGAAGGGTGCTGGGGTCTCACCTTCACGGGCGCGGCGCCCGAGGCCATGTCGGCGCGGGGCGCGGGGCGCGGAGCGATGGGCTCCGAGCGGGCCGGGCAGCGGCGGGCGGCCAGGCAGCGGCGGCGAGGAGAGCGCGCGGCGCGGAGTCCCGGGCCGGCCCTGACTCCGCCTCTTCCTCCCGGGGACAGCACGATTGGCTGCTCGCGTGGGCTTCCCTCCCGTCACCCCCTCCTCAAATCCAGCTTCCCGCGTCCCGCCCTCCGGCGGACCCTTCCGGTGGCGCGTTCCTCGTTCTAGCGGGCTCGTGAGGGCGGCCGCGCGGGCCGCCGGGCTGAGGCGGGCTCGTGAGGGCGGCTGAGGCGGGCTCGTGAGGGCGGCCGAGGCGGGCCGCCGGGCTGAGGCGGGCTCGTGAGGGCGGCCGCGCGGGCCGCCGGGCTGAGGCGCCTCTGCGGTTTCTGACGCGGTGCTTTGCACGCTCGTTAGGGAGCTCGCGGAACTTTCTTCCCTCCAGGCCCTGTGAGGAGCATCGCGCGGGCAGGCGCCGCGGCGCTCGGCCCAGCCTTAGGTGCCCGGGTCGCTGCCCAAGTCAGGCCCCACTGCGGCCCCACTGAAGTTCTCGCGGGAGGCGACCGTGCGCGGCGGGAGCTGGCGGGCTGCTGAGGTTCCTTCCCGCCACGCACTGGCGGGCGGGCGGGCGGGGCGGGGCCGGGCCCGGCTCCAGTGGCGAAGCGCTTGCCTGGAGCCCCAGGAGCTCGGGGACAGCGCTCAGGTCCAGAGTTCAAATCACGACGGACACACACCACACACACATAACGGAGTAAAGCACTCCGTTGCAGGAATCGTCCTGACTCACCCTGTGGTTCACCCATCTTCAGTTTGAGGGGAGTCTCTTAAGATCAGACTCTGCCACACTCAGCCTGGCTCTACCAGGCAAAGTCCAGTGGAACACTTTCTGTGCTTTCAGGATGCATAGCATGTCACCGTCATTGAATACCAGCAATCTACCCTTGGGAGGACCCACCCCAACCCTTCCTTCTGGAGTAATTCAATACAGCTTTTGTTGGTGCATGGGGTAACCTCTTCCAAGCCACCCACTGGGGTGGCACGATTTGAAGGGTGGCCTCTAGGTTACCGACATGCTGTCAGTTTCTCTGGGAAAGGTTAAGGACAGTGGAGGTAGGCCTGACTTGTTTCCCTACAGCCACAAAACACCGTGACCCACAGTTTTATTCCAAGTGTCACTGTCTTCCATTAGCCTTGTTGGGCTGTCTGTTTAGCTGTCTGTATAACCTGTTTCCCTTGTCAGTATAGATTTTCACCCTCATGATTATTTGCTTTAGCCTAAGTTTTCTCACGGTGTTTTTTTTTTTTAAATGGTACTAGAGTTTGAACTCAGGGCTTCTTCCCTTGCTAGGTAAGCACTCTTATTAGTTGAGTCACATCTCCATTCCTTTTTTTCTTCTTTGTGTGTGGACGTGCCAGCCCTGGGGCTTGAACTCAAGGCCTTGGGCACTCTCCTTGAGCTTTTTTCACCCAAGACAGGTGTTAGCCCAATGAGCTCCCTTCCCATAGCTTAGTGCACTCCTTCCCCTCTCCACACCTTAGCATGCTCCTTCCTAGGCAACACTAGGCCCATTTAGTAAAGGCAGTAAATAATCAACCTCCAACCCCCTTTACCTTGGGATGGCACTTCTCTGGGGCAGCTACCACCATATAAGGCAATAAGAGCCCCTTAGAGTGACCTTCAGGTCTGGGCAGCTGCAGGGCCCCTTATCTACTATTTGGACAGCACCTATAAATCCTAGTCCCCCATGATGAAGCCCCTGGCCCACATGTCCACACCAGGGTCTCTGCCTCCTAGCCCTTCCTAACCTTCTAGGTTATATAGGTCACCTTAGACAATAACAGGTGCTTCTTCTCCCTTCTCCCTTGTGAGAAGGGGCTTGTCGACCCCTTTCCTAGCAATAAACCTTTCTTTGTACTCTGTACTTGGATGTCTGAGTGGTTTTCTGGCAAAGTCTAAAATGCTCTGACAATAGGACTCTAGCTGTATCACTAGAGCCACAACTCTACACCCAGATTTTTGGGGTGGACCTTCCCGTCCACCCTGGCTTTATACTTTGAAGGTATGTGCCTAGCTCCTGTTTGTTTTCCTGATGATAGCATTCTGACTGTAGTGAGGCAGATTCTCAGTGTTGTGCTGATTAGTATCATTTATTGCTAAGGTTGTTGAGCATTCTTCATGTATTTGGTGCATTTGTATTTTTTGTTTTTAGAACTGCCTGTTCAATTCTCTTGCCTAATTGGATCAATTAGATTAATTAGATTGTTTGATCTTTTTGTGGTTAATATTTTGAGCTCTTCATATATTCAGGGTATTAGTTCTTCATCTTGGGAATAGCTGGCAAAGATTTTCTCCCATTCTGTAAACCAGAATCTTTGATTCCAGCAATGTTTCTTTTGCTGTGCAGAAGCTGTTTAATTATATGGAATTCCAAGTCTTCTTTCCTGAGCAATTGGTGTCAGATAAGAGCCATATATTATTCATTTAATCCTCATAGCTGTTGATGTAAATAATAGTATAGTACTCATTTTATAGATGAGGAGACTAAGAGAAGTTGAATCATCCTCCTCTCATCTTTTCAATGTATTTGCTTCTTCAAAAACTTCATTTTATTTACAACCTTCAGACTTTCCTTCTCTTTCCCCTATTAATATATAATCAGACTTATAACTCCTGTTAAAGTGTACATTTCCAGGCAGGGCTTCGTGGCTCATTCCTGTGTTTCTACCTACTTAGGAGGCAGAGATTAGAAACTGGGAGAGGTTAGCCCAGGCAAAAAGTTCATGAAATCCCATCTTACCCAATAAAAGCTGGATGTGGTGAGCCATGTTGTAATCTTAGTTATATGGACAGTGTAAATAGGAGGATTATGATGCAGATTGGCCCAGGCATGCATATGAGATGCTATTTGAAAAATATTGAAAGCAAAAGGGACTAGGGAAATGGATCAAATAATAGAGCACCTGTCTGGTATGTGCAAGATCCTAGTTTAAACTCTAATATGGCCAAAATAAAAACAGATTGATAAAAAAATTAAGCATAAATTTCCAAAAACAGGTTTAAAATTTACCTTACCAAGAGGCCTGTGGATCCACCCTTAAACTAAGCTTTTAAAACTCTAGATAGGGGCTGGGAAGGTGGCTCAGTGGTAGAGTGCTTGCCTTGCACGTATGAGGCCCTGGGTTTGATTCCCCAGCACCACATAAGCAAAAAGAAAAAAGCTGGAAGTGGCACTGTGGCTCAAGTGGTAGAGCGCTAGCCTTGAGCTGAAGAGCTGAGGGACAGCACCCAGGCCCAGAGTTCAGGCCCCACGACTGGACCAAAAAACAAAAACAAAAACAAAAAAACTCTAGATAGAATAGGATGTTTGAGAAATCACCGGGGTAGATGTGACTGTCACTATTATCATATGAAGAACAGGAGGCTGAAAACCTTTAAGAAGTCTTCTCCAGCCAAAGTCTGAAGTCTTGCTATATCATTCTTCCCAGGATGTAATATGCTTAAAATAAGTGTTCTAGGGAGAACAAAATTTGGCCCATACACAATCAGCCCTCAGGAACTCCTGATCTAGAAACAGCAATGAGAGCACTTGCTCTTTTTTTTTTTTATAATAGTCTTTACAATAGGTATGAAATGATATCTCATTATGCTTTTAACTTGCATTTCTCTGGTAATTAGTGATTCTTTTGTGTTTATATATCTATTGGCTATGCATATGAACATGCATATGTACACACTGAAAAGTATGATGTTAACTGTGGGCTTGTTAAATATAACCTTTGTACTGTGGAACATCCCTTTTGTAGCTAATTTGTTGAGTTTTTATCATGAAAGGTTGTATTTTGTCAAGATTTTTTTTTCTGCATCTATTGAGGTAGTCATGTTTTTTTGTCTTGTCTGTTCATGTGCCAAATTATATATTAGCAAATTTAGAAGAGAATTAAAAAGATCAAATCAAATGAGATATATCCTTGGAATACACAGATAGAACAATATATGTAAATTAATAAATATACTTTTACAAATTAAAAGAAGAGGGGGGTAAAACAGAAAGGGGGAGTCTTAATCACATAACAAGCTACAGGAACACTTCATGATGGGTTTCTGAAGGACAGGTCCTTGAATGGGGTTGGGGAAGACAATAAAGGAACTAAGTTTAAGCCATGGCACACCACTCTACAGTCATTTGTGAGGAACTGCCAGTTACTTCAAGTGGCTTGGAAGTGGTAATGGAGTATTGAAATTCATTGGAGAAAATTCGAATTCAACTGTAAGATGGAGCAGAGGATACTGGTATCATTATACTGATGGACTCTAGGAACACTTTAAAACATATTTTTCTTTCCTTGTTCCGTTGGTTAAAATTTTGTACTACATCTCAAATACATTTTTTATTTTTAAATTTTATTTGTTTTTTATTTTTATTGTACAGAAAGGGTGCAGTTACAAAAATCAGGTAACGAGAACATGTCTTTTAAAACAGTATCACCTCTTCCCTTATTTTCTCCATTTTTTCCCTCTTAACCCCCTCCCCAACAAGTTGTATAGTTGTATAGTTCATTTTCAAAGTAGTGTCTAGTGAGTATCACTGCTGAACTAGTTCACCCTCTGTTTTACCATTTAGGTGCTTTCCCTTGCCCACCCCAAATAAGATAAACTTACATACAAGATAACAGGTACACAAATAAAAAACAGTGACAAAAGGAGAAAAAAAAAACAGAAAAAAAAACCCCCACAAAAAGTAAAATAACCTCTTGCCGGGCGCTGGTAGCTCACACCTGTAATCCTAGCTACTCAGGAGGCTAAGATCTGAGGATCATGGTTCAAAGCCAGCCCGGGTATGTGAGACTTGTAACTCCAATAAGCCACTCAGAAAACTGGAAGTGGCGCTGTGGCTCAAGTGATAGAGTGCTAGCCTTGAGCTGAAGAGCTGAGAGACAGCACCCAGGCCCAGAGTTCAAGCCCCACAACTGACAAATAAATAATTAAAGAACCTCTTA